AATAGCGCGGACACATTATACTTTGAAAGGCTATGCTTTCGTTTCAAAACTGAAGTGCACTTTGGGCTTTACAAAGATAAAGCGAGTCATGTTCGGCTGGTTATGTGATCTGAAAAATCGCCTATGAAGCATTAAATAAAATAGCTTTCCTATTAGACTACGGATATGATTGATCTTCATCTCACATGAGTGTACATCATTTTAAACATTTTTAAAATAAATAAAGATTTATTTTAAATAAATCTTCTTAAAGTGTAATAGCACCTAGTGCAAAGTGTAACTCTTTTTAATGAGGCAAAAAATACAAATGTATAAGTGCATCCTGCATCCCCATAAAATATAATAAATCTATTTACAGCTTTGTTAAATGATAAAAAAAAAATACAATTAAAAAAAATGTAAATATTGGGTAAAATAAGGATTCAATTTCCTCAAAAATTTTATTCAGAAAAGTATATTTGTCACTTTAGCTTGCTTTCTAGAGATAATGGCATTGGCCACTGAAAAGCCCATATTGTTCAACCACTACCAAGGGTCATGGAATGTGTTTCGGATGAATCCAATAAATGTGAGACAGCACACATAAAATTGTTGTACCAAGCAGACAGTTGTAGATTTATGATCTGTTTTTATCATTGGTGGTCTGCTGGACCATTACACAACATAAAGCGGCATCAATCTCCACTTCTGTCAGGCCATTAATGACAGTGGCGGTCGCTTCCCCTCTCTCTATCTGCCCAAGTCCCATCAGCTTTTTGTTCCCTCTTTTTTTATAGTGATGAATGACTGATGTTATCACAAACTGGGAGACAAGCTTTTACAAGCATGGATTACTTCTGAACATGACAAAAAACTACCACACTATAAGAGGCCAGGAGCATTACATCAAAGCTCTTCATTGTGACAGCAGTCTAGATAAGCACCACACATGTAAGGGGATCATATCATTTAATGTCTTCCAGAGGACATCATTTATACATTTTTATATGTCTTTTTCTTTGAGTTTGCAGAGGACTGGGAATGCAGCAGCACAAGACGTGAGCAAGGCTCAGAGCAGCTGCCTGTGTCATTATTGCTCTGCACAGCTTTTATCATTCCCATAAATCTGGTTCTGCAGAGCCCCATAAAATGGCAACCTGTGAGTGTCTGGCACTCCGAACACCCCACGGAGAGAGGGAGAGATCGAGACAGAAAGAGAGGAGAAGAACCACGAGAGCTGCTAACCTGACTAATGGCAAACTCCACTTGTGCAAAAGCCCAGCGGACTCCATGACCGCGTTTACTGCTGCTACTGATGAGTAAACAGAGGTGAAAAAACAGAAACTTGGGGTAATCAGTTTCAAAAATGATGACAATAATACACACTCATACAAGAAATTTAAATGCAGAATAAGTGCTGAGTAATTTGGGCTGGGGTTTCTGGAAAGTAACTAACACAGTGTCTTACCCGGCACAAAGTTATAGTGACATGCAATATTTAAATTTGAGTCTTTGTCCTAACCAGACACAAGAGCAAAAGGACGTTTTGTCAATAACTTGCTTTCCATTTCTGTGCCAGACTGGGAAGCAGAACAGTGCATCGATAAACATTTCCCGATTCGATTACATTTCGAAAGCTTGATTCAATTCTGATTCATTTGGTCCATTTTGCTTACATATGAAATATCTTATATCTAAGCTTATATATATAGCTTATATCTAATCACTAATGCTGTAATATATACAGTATATACAGGTGCATCTCGTGAATGTCGTGGAAAAGTTCATTTCAGTAATTCAACTCAAATTGTGAAACTCGTGTATTAAATAAATTCAATGCAC